TAGATAGAGAGATAGATAGATATAGACAGACAGACAGATATAGATATATATATATGAGATGATAGATATATATGATATATGTATATAGAGAGAGAGAGAGAGAGAGAGAGAGAGAGAGAGATAGGTAGATAGAGAGATAGACAGACAGATAGAGAGATAGAGATGGATATATATATATAGAGAGAGAGAGAGATAGATAGATAGATAGATAGATAGATAGATAGATAGATAGACAGAGATAGAGAGATAGGTAGATAGGTAGATAGGTAGATAGGTAGATAGATAGATAGATAGATAGATAGATAGATAGATAGATAGATAGATAGATAGATAGATAGATAGAATACCAATGCCCAAAACAATTCACAAGATCACCTCCAATCAGCCAAGTTCAGCTAAGGGAATGATGTCTAGAAAAAGGAGTTACTTAACTCCCAAACTCCCCCAGAAAAAACAAGGGAGCCAATGTCACAAACTCTTTTGATCCAATAAATTGATAAGAAAAGATTTGGGGAAGGTTCCCCTGCAGTTCACAATTTCCAAAGGGCCGTTTGGGTTGCTCAAATGAAAAGGAGGAGAGAAAAAAAACACAATTACCGATAAAGGAGAATATGTGTCGTTCAGGGTTTAAATGAACGTTCCTTGGTGCTTTCTGAGTTTGGTTGTTTTCTTGCAGATGTTACATTACCCAACTAGGTAACATGAGCAGTGATGATGTTACCTAATCTGGATGATAAAACATCTGCAAGAAAACAACCAAGCTCAGAGAGCACAAAGGATCTCCTCAGAAACATAACTACCTGGGCTTTATTTTCGTAGAAAATGGCCCAATTTGGACAACTCTTTCACCCTAATACTGTCACTGATTCACAAACCCATTAATTCTATGCACAAGTCAGTATGTTTTAGATATAATATACCCTTTCATTCACACCAGGAAGTGATAGGTGCCACTATGAAGAAAGCCATGATAAAAACTAGCTTCATCCCAGGGGCAAAGATCTTGGTTAATTCCAAAACCGTCGTGTCTTTCGGCTGTCTATTGCTTATATGTTGGTTTTAATACTATCTTAGCTGCCCAGAGTTGCTGGGAATTTAGGAGTTGGGCAGTTATATAAATTGTTCAAGTAGGTAAGTAGATAGTAGATACACTTGTGGAAGTGTATGATTACTAGGAGCAAATAGGTCTCTGCTCCCGTTTTCAAGATTGAAAGAAAGATATGGTTATTATCCCCCGGATCGTTGGTTTCATCGATTTTATACTGACAGGTTTTCATTAACATTCAGCCAGAATATGTCTGCCTATAGCATGATTCTGTATCTTGCACTCTTGATAAATAATAAATAATCTTGGACTTCTTTGGTCTGCTTTATCTTTCAAATAGTTGGAGAAATTGTCGGGTCTCTTCTCTTTCCAAGTCCCAAAGCTGCTGGATGTTCTGGTTTTTCTTGGAAGAGTTTTTCTGTCAGAGCTGAAGAAGCTTCTTGGATGAGAATCAAAACATCTTCAAAGAAAAACCAGAAAGTCCAGTTGCCTCTTGAAAAAATCACCTTTGGGACAACCGTGACCTGGATGACTGAGAATCTCCACAGACATTCTCTTTCCAAGGTTAAACATCTCCAGCTATCTCAATCTCCCATTTATTTGCAGGATTTTTCAAGTCTGCACCCAAAATTGAATACTGTAGATTCAAGATCAGGTATAATGGAAAGAATTAAAGGGAAATGAAATAGTTCAATGTTAAGCATGTTTACTTGGCAGTATACCACTGTGTTCAATAAAGCATATTCTCACATGTAGGTTCATGGGGCTTCAGATGGAATATTTTTTAGGTGGGTTAATTATCCTCAAAGACTTTAAAAGTCTGGGGAGCCAGTTCATAATACAACTGTGTCTAGATCATCTGCAAATTCCCTTATGAGATTTCTACTTTTAAAATAGCCTGCAGCATTCATTCATAGAGAAATCTAAAAACAAATACTATCAGAGACAGGAAAAGAAAAGAAAAAACAGTGAGCTTTCCGAACCAAATTTTTTGCCTGACCAACAGAGCTATATAAGAGGAGCAGTGAACTCAGAAAAAAACCATTTTTTGTAGCTAAACCTTCTATTCACTGTATTTGAGCATGTCACAACATTACTAAGAATCTCAAATCCAATGCAAAACAACTCTAGGAAGCAAGTTTTCAATAGTCAAATAACCCAAAGCAACTTTTAAGTCTATCTCTCTGCTACTCAATTAATTAGATTTACACTATTGTTTGAAAAAAGAGGCAAATTTGGCATTCGGCAAACTCTTTCTAGACCCTATGGCAGGTTGCTGTTTTTGCAAAACTGTTCCGTGGCAGACACTTTTTTTTTTTTTTTGAAAGAGTGAAGGTGAATTTTTAAAAATCGTTTCATTTTTGTTGTTGTTATTTTGTTATTCCAACTTCTCCAGTTTGTTAATGTCCTACTACCCAAACCAGGAACTAGTCAAGATAAACTTAACTGGAAAAATATTGTAAGGCAAAAAAAAAGAACAACAGAAAAAGATATAGAGTTGGTCCAAAGTTGAGGTCAAAATCAGAGAACCAGACAAAGGATAAATGTTAAAGGCAGAAACTATGTATCTGATCAATGGAAAAAAAAACTGTGCCAAATAAGAAAAAGAAAGTTGTGGGGATCTTTGCAGATTTCTAATGAAAAATAATAAAAGTTTTAACATTTTGAAAGTTTGTGAAATCAGATTATCAGTTAAACATATTATTTTTAGATTAATGATATACAACCGAAAGCAAAGACACTGTCACGTCAATAAGTAGCATTATATAAATCAGCCATTTTTAAAAATGATGATTGAACTAAAGTCTTGATGTATTATTCCTAGTTTTTTTTTGTTCTTGTTGTATTTAACAACAATCAGAAATATACTTTCAGTTGTGATCATTCACATTCTTGTTTGGAATGAAAATATACAAATTTTCCCACAAATTTCCAAGTACATGTACTAAGCAGCACTTTTCACAAGCTTGACACAATGTATTGTATAGATTTATTAAAATTAGCAGTGGGCCTTTTGATTCTAGCAAACCATTTCAAGATTTTTAAGAAATATAGTTAGTTCTCTGGCAATGAAATAAATGCCTCAGAGATCTGAATTGCTTAAGATTTAAAACAGCTGATATTGTATTTCATCTATTTTCATCCATGCCAGGTAATTTCCAGGTCTACCTCCCCAATGCAAATTTTGAAGGGGGAAAAACCCTGCAACCTGTTTATTTCTCATAATGAAATGGATAGATATAGTAATATGATTTAAAAAAAAAAACCAGTTAACTTTAAGTTGTATTTAAACAATAGCAGAATACAAAGTATCCCAATATAAAGCTCATAAATAAATCAGAAAGAGAAAAATATACTGAACCCAATTTGTGACGATGCTGGAGTAATTCCTGCTGAAATCAACAGAGAAAAATAAATTTGCAACCTGATCTTGGGCACCAAGATTACCCTGGGTTAATTTTAAACAAGCCTGCACAGGATTTTAACTGACAGAGCAATAACATTGTACTTAACTTTCGGAGTTCATTTAGCTCATAATAGGATTTTTTAAAAAAAAAAACAAAAACAGGGTTTATGCAAAAAGAGGATGCATTTAAGTTGTCTGGGTTTTTAAATGTTTATTTCTTCTCTTTTGTTATAATAGTTTTCTGATTTACTTGCTACAAACCTTCTCTTCACTTCTAGATATTTCTGAGAAACAAAGTTAGGGAAGCAAAAAAGAGGAGTTTGAAAAGCATTTAGTTTTAGAAACCAAGAATTGCTGAGTCAGGATGCTCATTTAACTTGACTTGTCATGTTATATATGCACCTCTGCAGTTGATAGTGACATCTGTAAGGGTTGATCGATCACCCCCCAAACCACAGAAAATTATAAAACGGGGATATTTTTCTCCATTCCGAGGCTTTCTTTCTATACAAACACATTTGCTATTTCCACATGTTAGATCCCAATCAGCACTCATACTATATTAGAGGATAGAAATATTTTCTATTCTAGGAAAAATGGGGAGAAATTTGAGGTAGGGAATCAGATTTCTGTGGCATGTGGGGGGAAAAAAACCCAAAAAAAACAAGAGCCGCAGAGATGTCATCGGTCCACAATGTGAGCGCTTCCTGCCACAATAACACCAGTTTTCTTTAAAGGAGAAGGACCACGTGAAGAGAGAATAAAGAGAGTCAAGGTTAAAGTCATAATTCCACCGTGTACCAAGAAAAAAAAGATAAGCACCAGTGCCATACCTGGGTTTGGATCAATAGAAGCAGGAGGCTACATCCATAGATGCTGAAGAGATGAGTTTGGAATTCTAAAACCTTACACACACATACACACAAATGCTTGGATTTGGGGTTTTTTTTTTTGGAAAGCCAGGCCAGACACAAAGAAGGCGAAGGACTTGGAAATGACCGCGAGAAGGCAGTCATCACGATTCCAGGTGGGGGAAATACCACATGCATTTTGTTTTTGTTTTTTTGAGGAACCCCATAGAACATCTCCTTGGTCATAGAGAGATCAAGAAAAGAGAGCAAAAAAACAACCCCAAAGCACATAGTGCAGAAGGGAATTTGGGGGTGAGATCCCAAGCAGATCTTTCAGACCCACTTTAAAAAAAAGAAAAAAGAACCCACTTATTGTCTGCCCTTTAGTTGACACACAGACCTCTCATCCAGGGTGCCGATCTTCGATTCCCACATGCGTCCCTTCACCTGGGGAGAGGATGGACCTGTTGGAAAGGTCAAACCCAGAGCCAGGTGGGATCCTTAAAGTTTCCTCCTGAAGTTCCCAGCTGTGAACGAGGCTCTCTGGGACCCATCCACCTGTTGTGACAGGCAAAGACCCATTTGCCCCCCCCCCACAACTCCCCATCCAAAGAGGGGGTCCCAGCCAACCCGCCAAGCCCCCTCCAAACTTGACCGCCTGCTGCACCTTTCAAAGGCAGCTCCGGAGGTGACTTACCTGCATGTGGCCCTGATACATTCTCGCTCCGCCGGCTTCACACTCCCCTGACAGGTGACAGGTGATGGGCTGGCTAAGGTACCCGGAGAAAGCAAAGTGAGGCGCGTCCCCCCTTTGCGGCCAGGTGCAAATCACATTCAGGCAAGGCAAAAAGAGAGAGAAAGAGAGAGAGAGAGAGAGAGTCCTTCCCGGCTTTGGGAATTGAGCTGGAAAATCTTGTCGCCTGTGATGCTCAGGGGTGACCTCCTCCTCCTCCTCCTCCTCCTCTTCCCAGGTGATCGGACACCGGGATCGTGCGCCCAGGGGATCGGGCACCAAGGTGAAAGAGAAGAGAGGGAGAGAGAGGGAGAGCTAGAGAAAGGAAGAAGAAGAAGAAGAGAAAGAAAGAAAAAAAGAAAGAAAAGGAGGAAGGGTGAAAAAGAAGGCAGGAGAAAAGCCTGAAGGTGGTTTAAGGTTAGGCTAGTTGTTTGGCCAGGCCAAAAGAAAGAAAGAAAGGAAAGGAAAGGAAAAGAAAAAGAACCAAGAAGGAGGAAAAAAAAAGAAGAAGAAGAAGAAGCGAGGATGGAGAGCGAGCAAACTCCGCTGCCGGCGCTGCCTTCAGAACTCTGCCTCGCTCTTTTTCAAGCGAACTCTTTTGGGTTTCCTCCTCGGCCCCTTCATTTCGCTTCCTCTCCTCCTCCTCCTCTTCCTCCTCCTCCTCCTCCTTCCTCGCGCTGCCGCTGGACCGAGATGGAGGCGGCCTCCCTCCCTCCTTCCCTCCCTCCCTCCCGCTTTCCCCCTCCCTCCGCCAGGAGCGGAGCAAAGCAGAGAGGAGCGCGCGCCATCCGGGGACCGTTCGGCAGACCGGCGCGCGCTCCGTCCTTGCTGCTGCTTCTCCTTCTGCTGCTGCTGCTGCTGCAGAGCGCCAAAGCGGGCATCTGCTTGGTTGGCGCTTGCTTCTCGCGTTCCTTCCAGCCCGCCGCCGCCTCCGTTCGTTCCTTGCGGGCACGAGAATTTGGGGGGGGGGGGGGGGGGGGGGGGGGCGGAACGCCTGCCGGTTTCCCGGAGCCCCGCTGCCTGGGGACCTGCAGGAAGAAATAAAAAAAAAAAAAAAATACCGGGCTGATCCTGGTGCCGGAAGCGCCAAAAATTAATAAATAAAATTAAAATTAATAAATAAAATTAAAATTAATAAATAAAATTAAAATTAATAAATAAAGGCTGGCTTTGAAATCGTCCTGGCGGCGGGCATCATGCGTCACTCTCTCCCCCCCCCCACTCCATCTTCCCTGGTTTTGCAAACCTTAGGATGGTTCAGCAGTTGGCTACCTCTGGGCATGGGCAGAGTTTCTTCCCTTTGGAGAGCCCCCGAGTAGTGAATAAAGTAGTGCCCTTTCAGCAGTGGTGAAATCCAATTTGTTTTACTGCCGGTTCTGTGGGTGTGGCTTGGTGGGCGTGGCAGAAGGATACTGCAAAATCCCCATTCCCTCCTCACTCCTGGGGGAAGGATGTTGCAAAATCTCCATTCCCACCCCTCTCGGAAGCCAGCCAGAGGAGGTATTTGCCGGTTCTCTGAACTGCTCAAAATTTCCGCTACCAGTTCTCCAGAACCTGCTGGATTTCACCCCTGCCTTTCAGGGATTGCTTCCTTTCCTGTCTCAAGGAAGTGTAGGATCTTCCTCAAGGTGTGTTTTCTCGTAAAATGGAGCGGGTTCCCATGATGGCTCATTCTGGCTTGCAAAGTACTTGGGGTCACTGCTGGGGGGGGGGGTCCTTCACCCAGAAACCTTATTTCCTTATTTAGAGACTGGGAAGGCGGAGATACATTGGGAGCAGTGGTGAAATCCAAATTTTTTAACTACCGGTTCTCTGGGCGTGGTTTGGTGGGCATGGTGTGGCTTGGTGGGCGTGGCAGGGGAAGGATACTGCAAAATCCCCATTCCCTCCCCACTCCTGGGGGAAGGATATTGCAAAATCTCCATTCCCACTCCTCTCTGGGGCCAGCCAGAGGTGGTATTTGCCGGTTCTCTGAACTGCTCAAAATTTCCGCTACCAGTTCTCCAGAACCTGTCAGGACCTGCTGGATTTCACCCCTGATTGGGAGGCTTCTTGTATTTGTTTGTTTGTTTGTTTATCAAATTACTATCCTGCCCATCTCACCTAAGTGACTTTGGATGGATTATAATCAATGCCATTAAAAAATCAAAAATAAGAACAGAATTAAAAACAAGGTTAAAATCAGGGGGTTAGAAAGTTAAAAGAGGCGAAGGGACTGCCTCAAATCAAGAAAAACCACCCCCAGTGTTGCATATCAAACTTTTAGTCTTGTAGGCCCAAAGAACCAAGAATGACAGCTGAAGTTACTTCTGAGTGTTTTTTTCTGATGAGACCAGTTTATCAGGGCAACCTGGTTTACCCAATTATGGGATGGAGCCAGAGGTGGGTTTCAGCAGGTTCTGACCAGTTCTAGAGAACCAGTAGTGGAAATTTTGAGTAGTTCAGAGAACCAGTAAATACCACCTCTGACTAGCCCTGCCCCATCTATTCGCTGCCTCCCAAGTCCCACTGATCAGGAGGAAATGGGGATTTTGCAGTAACCTTTCCCTGGAGTGAGGTGAGAATGGAGATCTTACAGTATCCTTTCCCTGCCACGCTCACCAAGCCACGCCCATCAAGCCATGCCACACCTACCAAGCCACACCCACAGAACTGGTAGTAAAAAAATTTAAAACCCACCACTGGATGGAGCATACTGCTGTTTTTGAATCCCAGAATGGTATGGCTAGCTGATGAGAGCTAAATAGCTTGAAATAGATCTATACTAGTCTCTCTTTATTTCTTTGTCGGTAAAACATAAATTCAACACACAAAATTACTTCTGAGTAGTTTCTTTAGTGTTGTTTGCTTGTAGACAGAATCTTGCCAGACTAAAGCAACAATCTGCATAGCTACTAGCTATATACACGATGAACTGTTAGGGGAGGGTCTGTCATCACCCACTTCCTGCACAGCAGAGATTCTAAATTCTGCTGACTGTTGGTCCACCACACTTAAAACCCTGTGCCAATTGATGGAGCCAGGTTTGGCACCCTTCCAGAAGGCCAGAAAAAGGGGAGTAAGTTATTTCAAAGAGTGGAAGTAATGGAAGAGAACCAGGGGTGAAATCCAGCAGGTTCTGGAGAACCGGTAGCGGAAATTTTGAGCAGTTTGGAGAACCAGCAAATGCCATCTCTGGCTGGCCCCAGAGTGGGGTGGGAATGGAGATTTTGCAATATCCTTCCCTCTGGAGTGGGGAGGGAATGGAGATTTTGCAGTATCCTTCCCCTGGAAGGGGGTGGGAATGGAGATTTTGCAGTATCCTTCCCCTGCCATGTCACTGCGTTATTTTATTTACCAGCTGAGCTCATTATTTCTGGACTGTCAGACTCTCCGTAGCTTTGCCAACTTCTTATCAGTAAGCTACGTGTTTCCGCATCCACCCACATTCCTTCACTTGCTCTTCACACATCTCTTTCCTTTGTTCTCTTTCCAGCAAGGTCCGGCTGAAAGATAGCTGGCCCGAATTACTTTCAAAATGTAACAATTAACTTTTCTTAGTTAGTGAGGTGTTTTATTTTCTTTATAACAAATAAATGAGTTTTATTAGAAACCTTTCTCGCGTTTCTTTTCAAAATATTACAACAAGGAATAAGCCTCGATTCATCTCCTCTAAACCAGGGTAATTAGTCCCAGAGCCAAACATGGGATTAATAAATGCCCTGACATGCCACGCCCACCAAGCCACGCCCACAGAACCGGTAGTAAAAAAAAAAATTGGATTTCACCACTGAGGAGAACATTCTCTTCCTGGATTCCACCAGCTGAAATTCTTTAACTGACCAATATATCCTCCCTGCCTGACCAAGTGGGAGAGGTCGATGGAATTAGAACAAGACAGTTAATTCAACACACTTAACTTAATTATTGAATATAGAGGGCATGGAGATGGTCCTTGAAGGACAGGAGGAAATGCTGCTATCAAGACAACAGTCAGATAAGACGGACTTCAGCCAGGGACAAGAAAATGAGGAAACATCTCAGACAGGACCCCCCCTAGTTCACATGAAGATAAAGTGAGGGAGGAAGAGAGCACATTGAGAATCGCAAGACTCTTGTATTCGACAGAAAAGTGGTCCCGCCCAATATGGGATTGTGGTTCTTTTAGTCTAGTCTACCTTGTAGGGCTGACACTGAATCAGTCCATTTTCTGGATTTGCACAACACTTTGAAGCCTACCCTTCAAATGCTTTGCACCTCATGTTAAATCACCCCCCGTTCCCAAACAATCCAGAAGTAATCAAATTTTAATATTGTGGAATCCTTGGTGGTATCTAAGGTTGTTTGTTGTTTGCAGACATTTCATCACCCAACTAGTAACATCATCACTGCTAGCGTGTGTGGGGTTTGCTCCCTGTTTATATACAACAATTGCTCATATAAGCAGGGCTTAATCAAGGAAATACCAAGAAGCAAAACATACCCCCCACCAATACTGGAAAGGCAAGGTACTGTACATAAAATGGAGCAAGCCCCACACTCCCTAGCCTGATGATGTTACCTAATTGGGTAATGAAATGTCTTCAAGCAAACAATCGAGCTCAGAGAGCATCAAAGACTCCACAGTTCAATCCTGAGCTACATATATTCTCTTCTATTGGAAGCTTTAATACTGTCCATACCAACAGCCACATTTTCTGGCAATAGCATATTCTGTAGACCACCTCTCTAAATTTTCGAAGGCATCGTGGAAAACGATGCTGCCATCTCTCTGATCTTGCCTTGCATCTCCAGGATGCCAGCTACTTTTGGTCGGTCCAAGCGGTTATCGGATTAGCTTCCTTTTGATTGAGAACCAGCTGGATCTCCTCTCTTCTCAGCCATTAGAGGAATATAGTAGAGACAGAGCAAGCTTAGAAGATTGAAGGGGTTAGCAGCACAGCTCTAGCAAGATAATAAGCCTACAACCAAAAACCAGAAACTTACCAGAAGGAAAGTGCCTCAGTTCCCTTCTGCATTTCTGAACAGAGTCAGTCCTGGTTGAAGAATTCTGGGAGTCCTCAGTTCACTGAATGAATCTAGATCCAATATCATCTCTGCCGCCGCTGCCTCCTCCTCCTCCTCCTCCTTCTCTTCCTCCTCCTCCTCTTCTTCCTTTTTGTTCTTCCTTTTTGTTCTTCCTTTTTCTCTTCTTCCTTTTTGTTCTTCTTTCTTTTTGTTCTTCCCTTTTCTCTTCTTCTTCCTTTTTGTTCTTCTTCCTTCCTTTTTATTCTTCCTTTATTCTTCTTCCTTTTTGTTCTTCTTTCTTTTTGTTCTTCCTTTTTCTCTTCTTCTTCCTCCTCCTCCTCTTCCTCCTCCTCCACCTCTTCCTCCTCTTCTTCTTCCTTTTTGTTCTTCTTTCTTCCTTTTTATTCTTACGCTTTCTCTTCTTTTTTGTTCTTTCTTTTTGTTCTTCCTTTTTCTCTTCTTCATCTTCTTCATCTTCCTCCTCCTCCTCCTCCTCCTCCTCCTCCTCCTCCTTCCTTGAGCAATTTCAAAGGGGAAGTAAGAAGGGTAATCAACAGCATTCTCCTCCTCCTCAATAAAAAAAAAATCACTATATGATCAATTAAACTTAAAAGATGGGAAGTGTGATGAAGTGATGGGTATGTTCCCCACCTTGAGCTATTTATAAAAATAATAAAGGTGGGGTATATGAACCATAAAGATTATG